CCAATTCCAAGGCAGGGGCTGTTATTGCTGCTTAGAGACTCCTTCCAAAGCTTCCCAGTTTGAAACTGCTCAGGATGAAGGTTAACCTCTGGGCAGTGAGTGTATCAGGATTAGGTTCAGCTGCATGGAACGAAAAATCCCAGCATCAAAGTGGCCCAAATAAGATTTTTCATATTTTGTCTGGCCGGTGTGACTCAGTGATTGAGCATCGACCCATGCACTAAGAGGTCACGGGTTCGATTCCTGGTCAGGACACGTGCTCAGGTTGTGGGCCCAATCCCAGTGGGGGGCATGCAGGAGGCAGCCAGTCGATGTTCTCTCTCATCGATGTTTCTATCTCTCCCTCTCCTTTCCTCTCTCTCTCAAATCAATAAAGGAAAAAAATTTTTTAATAAATAAATTAATTTAAAATATATATATTTTTCATGTTTCCACAAAGGAGATCCATGGGGAGGTGATTCTGGAAGGATGGCAGCCCCCAAAAGTCACCAGGGACCTGGGCTCTTCTAGCTTGCTCTTCTGCCATCTTTAACATGTTTCCTCACCGTGCGAGATGGCTGCCTAAGTTCCTGCCATCACCTCAGTCCAGGCAGCAGGATGGATAAAAAGAGAAGGCTATGCCCCTCCCTTACACAGAGACTTTCTATAAGTCTCACACCCTGTCAGTTCTTGCTGTACCCAGCTGACAGGGAGGCTGGAAAATGCTCAACTAAAAATCAGGGTTTTGTTTGCTCAGAAGGAAAGCGAGCGTGTAGGTTGAAAAACAACCAGCAAAACCTGCCATGTGGGCCAGTGCTTTACGCACAAGCATGACTTGGCAGAAATCCTTAGGAGACTAGCTTTAATCAGAATTAAAAGCCAGGAAAAGAATGTATTTTAATTAAGACACATTTGGGGTGTATGTAAATAAAGGCTCTCTGGTGGTTGAGTGTTGAACTAGTTTGCATCTAGAAAAACTTAAATCTCCTCTTTCCTGACTGTAAATAATTTGCTAAGAAAAGAGAAGTATTGGCCCAGCCCACCTTTGGCGTTTCCTTACCTCCGAGATGGTCAAGTCCTGACAGTGAAGTTAAAAATCAATACCAAAACACAGTAAGCTTGGGAATTAAATCCCACTTCCCACACAGATGGTCTCACACCATTAAAAAGAAGCTGGTTGGGCCCTGGTCGGTTTGGCTCAGCGGTTAGAGCGTCGGCCTGCGGTCCAGAGAGACCCGGGTTCGGTTCCCGCTAAGGGCCCGTACCTCAGTTGCAGTTTGTCCCCGGCCCTGGTTGGTTGTGCGGGTGGCAGCCACTCCATGTGTCCCTTTCATGTCGATGTTTCTCTCTCTCTCTCTTTCTCTCTCTCTCTCCCCTCCTCCCACTCTATCTGAACAAAAAATGGAAAAATGTCCTCGGGTGACGATAAAAAAAAAAAAGAAGAAGCTGGTTGGCTCAGTTGGTTGGAGCACCATCCTGCACACTGAGAGGTTGCAGGTGTCATCTCCGGGCGGGGCACATGGGAATCGGATCCCTGGTTGGGGTGTGTACAGGAGGCAGCGGGGTCAATGTTTCTCACATGGATCTCTCTCCCTCCCTTCCTGTCTCTCTGAAACCAATGAACATGTCCTGGGGTGAGGAATATAAAATTAAATAAATAAAGCTGAGGTGCTGAAAGCATGCGGCAGAGTTGGGTGGACGTTAATACCTATTTCCTCCTACCCACAGATGTGAATGTTTTCACTAAATGTATACACAACCCAAGTGTCTCTTTTCCTGACGCCACCCTCACGGCACAGCTGCTCTGTGGCCAGAGTTGCAGGAGGGGCGGTTCAAGCCCAGCTGGGCTGTACCCGGACCTCTCTCCCCTCCCCACATCTGCCCCCAGAGACTCCCCTCTGCACCCTCCCCTGGGCTCTTCATCCATCCAGGCTCACTCTGGTCTAGGGTGGGCTTGGGTGGTTCTTGCGGCTCCCTGACTTGGCCCATCACCAGCGGGCCCCTCGGACCGTCCTTTCTCCAGAATGTTCAGGCTCCAGGACAGGAGGGGAGGAGGGCAGGAGGGCAGGGAAGCCCTGGGCAGGAGCAGGTCCCACTCCACACACGCAGACCACCCCGTGTCCCCACCCACGAGGTGCTTTCCTCCAGGCAGGGCAGAGATCAAGGCCGAGACAGGGAGGCGGCTGGAGGGCCCCCTCCCAGGGCATCTCCTGCCCATGACCACCATGACCAGAGGGGCGAGGACAAGACAAAACTCCATCCTTAACATTGTTTCTATAAAATTAGACTTTTTTTTCTTTATTGATTTGAGAGAGAGAGGAAGGGAGAGAGAGAGAGAGAGAGAGAGAGAGAAACATCAATGAGAGAAAACATGGATTGGCCGCCTCCTGCATGTCCCCCACAGGGGATCTGGCCCACAACCTGGGCATGTGTCCTGACCGGGAATCAAACCAGTGGCCTCCTGGCACATGAACCGCACTGGCCCGACTAAAATTAGACTTTTTACCTTGGTTTATTCCTTTCCTTGTGAACCCCAGAATGTGTGGATGTTATTTCCTTCATCACATGACGTGGGTGCCTCTTCACACAGTAGTGGCTCATCCTGAGAGGTCATGGGGTCAGGCAGAGTGGTGCTGGGCCTAGGGGACTCCCACAGGCAGAAAAATCCCCTGTGGGGCTGGGGAGCCTGATCCCCATCCCCACCCCGTTTTCTGGCTCAACACAGTTTTGTTCTCCTCCACATTTACTTACTTAGTAAATATTCTTGTGACATCTGTGATTTTCCAAATAAATGAGAAAAACTGGCCTGGAACTGTGGGATCTGTGAAAGCAAAGGGTAACCAGCGCTGTGATCTCTGGGTAGGTCTAGCTCTGGATGACAAAGGCATGTATCGGATGAAAACTGAGGGGATCCTTTAGGGTACTCGGTCCTTCTGTGCATGTTTACATTCTGTCATTCACTCCATCAACATTTCTTTTCTTTTTTTTTAATCCTCATCTGAGGGTATTTTTCCATTGATTTTTAGATTGAGTGGGAAGGAGAGAGAGAGAGAGAGAAACATCGATGTGAGAGAGACACATCGATTGGTTGCCTCCTGCTTGACCCCGGACTGGGGATTGAACCTGCCACCTGGTACGTGCCCTTGACCAGAAATTGAGCCCTTCTGTGCAAGAGGAGGGATGGTCAGTGTGAGGACCAGCATTTTCTGTGGCCTTGAAAATGTTCTTCTGTCCATTAGCTGTGCCAGGGCAGAGATTGCAAACCATGGAAACAGAGTCTCTTCCAGGCCTCCTCCCAGAGTCCGAGCCGTCCAGGGACTGAGGTGGCCCCAAACCTGGGCAGACTCCGCCCCTTAGCTCAGACCCCCCTCTCCGTGCTCAGAGACTCCTGGAGTGTCTGGGATTATTTCCCACTTAGGAGAGACCGGAAGTGAGACAGAGTTGTGCCAGAGCTTGAGGGCAGCAGGGAGAGCGGGGGTCCCAGCCAGTCTGGGACCACCAGGACGAAGGGGGGGCAGGGTGGAAATCCACCCAGAGGGGGCAGCGGGCTCAGGGCCCCGGCTGCAGTGGTCACACTGTTCCGCCCACGGTCCTCGTCCCCTCTGCAGAACCCAGGCCCAGAGAGGGTAAGTCACTGGTCCTCAGCTGCCCAGCAGACCATGAACTCAGGCCAGGGTCCACCACCTCCCAAGGAGGCCTCTGCATCCTCCCACCCCTCTGCTTCATGCCCACCTCCTCAGGGCCCACGGCGCCTCTCCCTGCCTGTGTCTGAGGGGAGGAGGGGCTGAGCACACAACCCACGCCCTGTGCCACAGACAAGGGGCCGGTCCTGTTGTAGAAAACGTTTTGTGTCCTGCTTTCCAGATGGCCCATCTCACCCTGATGTGCCTGGGGTTTGGCCCTCATTCCCTTTAAAGTGATGGGGCAGCACTGGCCAGTTTGGCTCAGCACCCAGAGCATCGGCCTGAGGACCAAAGACTTGTGGATTCGATTCAGGTCAAGGGCACGTACCTCGGTTGAGTTTCGGTCCCTGGCCCTGGTGTGGGAGGCAACCAATTGATGTGTCCCTATCATGTTGATGTTTCTCCCTCCCTCTCCCCCCCCCCCCCCAGTCTGAAAATCAATGGAAAAATATCCTTCGGTGAGGATTAAAAAAATAAAATAAAAAATAAAGTGATGGGGCAGGAAGCGGGGATTCAGTCGGTCTGGGGGCTGCTATCCAGGGCCATTCTAGCTTGTCGGTGGTGGAGGAGAAGTGTCCTCGCTGGCCCAGGGCACGCGCGGTCTGGCTTGGCTAATAGTTGGTGCCCAGGAAGGCCTGCGGTGTGGGGGCCTGAGCTGCTGCTCAATCAGCATGGAACCAGGGCATGGGAGGGGGCTCGCTGCACCCCGGGCAGTGCCTGGGTCCCGGCCGCTCCTCCAGGGTCTCCCAGAGCATGCTGGGCTCCTCGAGACCTGCGTCAGGACGTTCATGACCATACAAGGCCTGGCCACTGCCAGCCATGCACCCTCTCTGGGCCTTGCTCCCTCATATTTAAAATCAGGGTGTCGTAAACAAACAAAGCAAGACATAAACGATAAATAAAATGGAGGTATCGAAAGCAAAACAAAAAAAGACAAAATGAGGGTGTCAAACCTGGTGACCTGAGATTCTTCTTGCACCAACCTTCCGTGATTAGGTCACACACCCCACTGGGCAGGGCCTGCTGAGTAACCGTGGCCAAACCCTGGGCTGAGGGGCGCCCCGAGGCTGTCCCCACCCAGGCTCAGCCATAGGGTTTGAGGGAGCCTGAGCCCAGGCAGCAGAGGATGCAGGGACACGGTCTGGGAAGTGGCCCGGGGTTCCCCGAGCCGAGTCCCCAGTTCCAGTCAACACTCCTCACCATGCAAGGGGCCCAGCTGTCTAATGGCTTCCTGTGCTGGTGAGGGCCCCACGCCATTTCTGCCACCTGCCGAGCGGGCGGCCAGAGGTCATGGAGGGTTGACCGCACGGTTTGCTTTTAGGTTCCCTCCCTGGGAAGATGGCCTCCTACGGAAAGTGCGTTGAAACTGTGATCGAGCAACTGGACCGATTGAAACCTGAGAAGGACGGTGCTGAGCAGCTCCTGGAGGCTGCCGCCGCCCTGCAGGTAGGTCAGCGCGGTGCGTGGGGCGGGCAGACAGGCCGCTCGGGACACCTGCTGTCCGCCTTCCAGGACACGCCAGGTCTCTGCTCCACACAGGAGGGGCTGGGGCACGATTCCTAGCCCCCAAACGCCAGCCATCCTGAATTTCACCCGGGTCACCATGGCGGCTGAGAGTTTCCACGGGCACCCTTCAGGGACAGACCCCCCTGCGCCCTGGCGGGCGTTCCTGGTACCCAGAACGTGCAACAGACTGCTTTTGCGGGAAACCCTGGCACCGTACCCGGGCCGATGCCCTCACACTGTCCCCACTGGAAGTAGACAGCAGTCAGCCTGGACAGTGCCTTCACCCCCACCCTCTGCTCTGGCACCCGGTGCGGCTGTGCCCTGGCAGCCGGCTGGCCCTTGTCCGTAGCTCCTGTGTTCATCTGCTAACTGGCCAGCACAGCGAGGCCTCGAAGCAATGAGAGACCGGCCCTTGGGGTGGCCCTCCAGCTCCAGCTCTGGCCCTCACCCCGGGGTCCCTGCTCATCTCTCCCATCATGGCCCATTTCCACACGGACAGTGCTGTCCTCAGGTCTGTCCTCGCTCTGACGTCACCCCCCCTCAGCAGCAGCCCCTGGAGACCTCCCTGTTACCAGTCCGTCTGTCCGTCCAATGGCCATCAGGGGGCAGGCACCTGCGCTGCAGGGCCCACCGCCAGGCCATGGGGCACGGGTCAGAAGGAGCCTGCAGAAGGGCGCAGAGTGCCCAGGAGAGCTCCGGGGCTGTCACAGGCCCTGTGCCCGCCGTCACCACCACCAGCTGGGCTGTCACGGCAAATGCGCTGACGGTGTTGGCCTCTCCTTGCCCGCTGCAGCCTGGCTGTTGCTTTTCTTACGGGGCCTGTGAGAGCTTGGGGTCCCCAGAAAGGCAGCCCCTGCCGCCCCCTTACTGGCTGTGCCCTCTTGGGGTGGGGCCCTGTGGTGCAGCAGCAGAAACCCTCCGGGGGACAGGGAGGGTGGCCCTGGGCTTGCACAGAGAGGCTGGAGCGGTTCCAGGACCTGAGATCCTGACCCAGTCAGACTGGGGTGCCCTCCGGCGGTCACACCTCCCTCCCCCATACCTCTGCACCCCCGTTCTCCAGCTCTTTCCCTGAGACCAAAGCAGTTCGGGAAAATGATGAAAACAGCCAAGGGCCAGGCCCAGCAACACCCTTCCCTCCTGAGGCTGAGGCCCAACGCCCCGCACAGCTCAGGGCACCCCATCCTGCCCCCTGTCCCCCAGTGCCCGTTTGCCACCGCCCCTGCCTGCTCCCCCTGGCTTTGGACTCATTCCCCTGGCTTCCCCGACAACCACGACTGGCTGCCACTGCCCCATCTTTTCAAAAGGCCCCTGGACCCCGGCCCCCGCCAGCTCCCGCGTTCTCCATCTCTGTCCTCAGCGGCCCCCGCTGCTCAGGCAGAGAGAGTAAAGCCAGTGCCTTTATTTCATAACCGCGACAGGAAGTCGGGCTGCTCCTATAAACTGTTTGGGGTTCTTTTTCCCACGATCAACGGGCTGTTAGAGGTCATCCTAGTTGTCATCGGTGAGCCTGGCAGGGGGACATCTGCCTGCGCATCATGGAGGGAGGCCACCCTGACCCGGCGGCCCGGCAGCCCACGCAGGCGGAGAGGCGTCTCTTTGTCAGATGCCTGGTCCTCCCAGACCCTTTCAGAAGGCCTCGGGGTCCCCCGTGACGGCCCGCGGACAAAGGCCGGTCTGGACAGCACACGTCTACCTCCAGCTGTCGGGACCAAGGCTCGAGGCTGTCCCGGCAGGAACCCGACAGCACACAGTCCACTGGGCAGTCTGGTGAAGGGCATGGTTGTGGGGTTCAGTTGCACCCCAAAAAGATATATGGAAACCTTCACCACCTGTTACCCTATGAGGAAACGCCATCTTTGCGGATAAGATTAGAAATCTCGAGATAAGACCATCCTTGATTTAGGGTGAACCCCAAGTCCAGAGACTGGTGTCCTTACAGAAGAGGGAGGACTGGACAGACCCACAGGGAGGAGACACCGTGTGAGAACAGAGACACAGGAAGGCCCTGTGACCACAGAGCAGAAACTGGGTCACACACCTACCAGCTGAGGAACGCCAGCCCCCGCCAGCCGCTGACCCCCCAAGGAGGAACCAACCTCTGACACCTCAGCTTTGGACTTCCGACCTCCAGAACTATGAGAGAATACCTTTTGTGGTGACGTTTCCTCTCCAGGTGACGTCTGGGGACCGTCCGCCTCTCTCTCTCTCTCTCTCTCTCACACACACACACACACACGGAGCCTCCAGGCCCTCTGCTGGGACTTCCCTCGGGCAGCCCCAGTGGCCCTTCATGGACCACATAGGGGGGATGGGAAAGGGACCATCCCCCACAGTGCACACGGGGGTAGTGAGACCTGGGAGCCGGCCCTGCAGACGCCAGCCTTCGGGTGAGCACTGAGCTGTGGGCCGGGGCCTGGAGCTGGAGGAGGGGCCGGGGCACCAGCAGCAAGCAGCCTGGGCGGCCCCAGACCTGGGTTCCCTGGCCAGGCCCTCTGGGAGGAACAGGAATGAGGAGGAACAAGTATCATCTCAGGGCAGGCCATGGGGGGCATGAGCATGTCCTGTAAGGGGGTGGGCCCTGGGGGTGTCACTCCCTGGAGGCCTCTTCTTCCCCTGCCCCCCGTTCCCTGAGCCCCTCTAGGCCAGCCAGCTCAGGCACCGGGGCCAACAGGTCAGGCTTAGGAACATCCGGAGAATGGACACGGGCCTGTGGGACAGAGGTGGGAGTGTGAGGGGCACAGTGGGCAGCCTGGAGCTTCCAGGGAGCCCACAAAATCTGAGCAGGACGCAGAGAGGGGTCTGGCTATAAGAGGGATTCTGGGGGCTGGGGGTGAGGGGTGGAGAAGGGGATCCTAGCAGATGGACCAAAGTCCTGATCTGTGGCCAAGAGTGAGTCACTGGTCCAGGCACTGTGTGGGCAGGGAGGCCAACGGGGCTGAGTGTGCACAACCTTGAACCCCGGAGCCAGGAGAGCTGGCCATTCAGAAAGCCACAGGCAAAGGCAGGAAGGCAGGTGAGCTCTGAGCAGGACAATTACAGGTCAGTACCAGGCTGGCAGAGAGGCGACCGGCAGCTGTCAGTCGGCCAGTCCAGGGGTGAGGCAGGAGTGGGGAAAGATCCAACTCAGGCCCTGGCCAGTTTGGCTCAGCGGTTAGAGCCGTCGGCCCGCAGACCAGAGAGTCCTGGGTTCGGTTCCCGCTAGGGGCATGTACCTCGGTTGCAGTTTGTCCCCGGCCCCGGTTGGGGTCGTGTGGGTGGCAACCACTCGATGTGTCTCTCTCACATCGATGTTTCTCTTTCTCTCTTCCTCCCTCTCCCCCTTCCACTCTATCTGAAGATAAATGCAAAAGTGTCCTCGGGTGAGGATAAAAAAAAAAAGACCCAACTCAGCACCCAGCCAGCCCCCAGCCAGAGGGGAGGGCAGGGCGGGCAGAGCAAAAGGGAGGGCTCAAGACGGCATCAGTGAATCGGAGGCCCCCTGGGCAGCCGCAGCCCCTGGCCTCACTGGCAGGGTGGCCCGGAGTGAGGAGCCAGCCCCAGTGCTCGGGCCTTCTCTGCACGGTTGGCCTGTCCCTGCCTCCTCCCAGACCAGCCCAGCAACCCTCTGCTGGCCCAGCCCGATGGACCCGGTCGGTGCCCTCTGATCCGTGACATCCCTGGGCCCCAGTCTCCTCTCTGTGACCGGCGGGGCTGATCTTCCCCAGCGGCGTGGGCCTGGCCATGGGCCAGCCTCATACGTGGGCCAGGGTGTCATTTACTGCTTGGTGCTGGGTCATCCGGGACCCCTGGCCCAGTACAGCCCTGCCTGATATCCCTGCCTGGGGGCTGATGGCACCAGGGCCTGCAGCGCAGGCTCAAGGTCTGACCTTATTAAAAATACATACTCACCCTTCCCAGTCGAGGACGTAACGAGTGGGAAGTGGAGGGGCTGCTGTCTGAGCCTCGCAGGCAGAGGCGCTGTCTGTCGGCCGCATCCTGCAGAGTCATGCAGCTCCGCAGGCCGAGCTGACTCGGCACCCTCAGCGCCAGCCCTGCTGACGCTGCTTCCCGACCGGCCTGCGCCCCCCTGCCTGCCCTGGACGAAACGGAGGAAGCTCGAAGCGGGGACTGAGGCCGGCGCCTCCGGTGTGGGCTCAGCCCAGAGGCCAGGGGAGTCTGAGAGGGAGACCGAGGCAGAAGCCTGGTTGCTGAGACCAGAGCCGACCCAGGGCGGGACCCCCCATCCTCCATGGAGACGGGAGTGTTCCATTCCAGGTCTGGGGCGCCCTCAGCTGACCTTCGAGCAGGGCGTGCTGCTGGGCAAGGGGGCTGGGCAGCGTCCGACTGGAGGGTGGTCGGCTGCGTCCCAGGCCAGGCGGCATCTGAGCAAAGGCCCGACCGGAAGAGCACTGTAGGCAGAAGGAGCAGCCTGCACAGAGGCCGGAGGTGACACGTGCTGCAGAAACGGAGCCCAGTGCAGCTGGAGTGGAGCTGGGCCAGCTCACACAGGACCTCACTGGCCACCATAAGGACTCCTTCTGGAATGTTCTGAGGAAGGATGGACATGCCCTGACTTCCATTTTAAAAGAACCTCTTGGCAGCTGGGTTGGAAATAGATGGAGAGGGGGACGAGGAGGAACAGAGAGCCCCCGGGACCCCCACGCTGCCAGACGGGATGCGATGAGCGAGGCGCCAGGCAGGACCCCCGGTCCAGTCTGCACAGCTGGAGGTAGGGTACTGATCTGGGCAGGCCGGGCAAAGCCTCAGATGTCTGCAGGAGTTGCAGCAGGAGCTGAGAGCGGTCCGGATCCGGGAGGGCCGCCGTGCCTTGGGAATGGCGCATTTTCAGCCTTGAGGCTGGGCATGCGGATCATGGAGTGAGGTCGGCGGGTTGGGCCCTGAGACCCTGTCACACAGAAGCCAAGGAGGAGCCGCTGGAGCCCAGAGGACGGTGGCAGCAGGACAGGGTCACCGCTGTGTCAGCCAGGGTCCTGGAACCCGAAGCCGAGCAGGCCTCGAAGGAGCCTGGGGCCCGTCAGCCAGTCCTGCGCTTCGAGCTGTGGGCAGGTTGGGGCAGCCTGGCTTCCCAGGTGCCCAGAGCCCTGGAGACTGGGGGGAGCGGCAGGGACGTGTCCACCAGGGTGGTACCATATGGTCCCACTCTCCCGGGGGTCAGGGGGCTGGGCTCCCAGTCCACGGCTCCCAGGGGGCTCCTGTGCCCTGTCCACGGTTCTCAGCGCTCTGCTGGGTTCTTAGCACAGAAACGATGGCAGAAATCACAGACCTCAGGAAAAAGTAAAACTTCTGTGTGCTCTACACACCAAAAATACCTGACACAAACCTAAATGGGAAACTACAAGCTCACGACAAATAGCTGCCAGCATCACGGCCCTGTTCATCGTCTTCAGTCTATAAAGAATTCATAGAAATGATGAGGAAAACCCTGCCCCGATTAAAAAAAAACAAAAAAAAGTGAGTCAAGAATATGAATTGATAATTTCACAGAAGCACAAATAAACATCCAGTAAACATCAACATTTCACCGACAACAAAAATATTTCAAATAAAACACTGGGATTGTGTAAATTGACTGGTAAAAAATTAATTCAATGTCCCTGCCGGTGAGAGTTTATTTGGACGAGGTGCACCTGCTGGGATCGGTCGGCACCTCCATTCCCTGTGCGCGCTGTCTGTCCTCGGGTGGGGGGCTTGCAGGACTGGCACTGGCGTTGGGCACATTCGGTGGGGACACGGGGAGGCCCCGTTGTTGACGTTTGGGTTTCCAGTACCCACCCTGCCCGCACCGCTGTCCGGACTTCTTGTATGTGGGTGTTTTCCGCATGTTGAACGGTTTCCTTAGATTCCCGGGAGTGTAATGACTGGAATAAAGGGCTCGCAAAATAGAAGGTTCAGGAAGCATATTTCCAAATGCTTTCGGGAAGCAGTCGGTGGCACCCCCCACCACCACCACCACCACCAGCAGCCTTTCCCGTGGCGTGTGGCTCACACAGGCTGCAAACTCCAAACTGGCCCCAGGGGTAAGTGGGGGAAAGTCATTCTCCCCAGAACCAGTTCCCCCGGGAGAGCCCATCTCTCCTGTGGCTGGTCCCCTCCATGGCCTTTGCCTGACCTGCCCTCACGGGAGCCTTCCTTGCTGGTCATTCTTGGGGGGGGGGGGTGTATTTCTTAATCATTCAACAACATTTTTTTTCTCTCATTTTTTTAAACCTCACCCGAGGGTATATTTATTTTCTATTTATCTTCAGATAGAGAGAGGGAGAGAGAGAGAAACATCGGCGTGAGAGGGACACATCAACTGGTTGCCACCTGCATGACCCCGACCAGGGCTGGGGACGAACCGCAACCGAGGTACATGCCTTTGGCTGGAGTCGAACCTGCGACTCATTGGTCCGAGGGCCAACGTTCTACCGCTGAGCCAAACCGGCCAGGGCTAAAAAGTTACCATTCGAATCATCGTTAAGCGCCCAGCTCTTTGGCATTAGGCACAGACCCACTGCTGTGCGGCCGTCACCGTGTCGTCTCCAGAACTTTTCCATCTTCCCAACGTGAAACTGTCCCCATTAACAGCGACTCCCCACCCGCCCCAGCCCCGGGGAGCCCCACCGCCTGGTCCCGGAAGCTGCCACTCTGGGCCTGTGTGATGGGGCCAGTGTCTGCCCTGCAGTGTGGCTCCTGTCCACGCTGGCTGCTGGCTGCTTTCCGTGTTTATTCCTGCCCTTGTCCCACCTGCTGTCACGACCCAGGAGAGCCTGTGGGAACGATTCCCGGGGCTGCACCCGCGGGTCCCGATCCTGGCCTGGGAGGGTTGCCAGCCAAGCTCTTCCCCAGCCCCAGTGCTGGGGCGCCCCCCACCCCATGCTGTCAGCCCTCCAGCGCCCCCAGGCCTGGCCCCTCCCGGCCTGTCTCTCTTCCAGACTTTCAGCCCCCAGAAGCAGGCGTTCATTTTGGAGGTGCTGTCCGGGTGCCTGGAGTACCGGCAGCTGCTGACCGTCGTGGTGGACGCCTTCTACGTGCGGGACGGCAGGCTCTGCCTCTGGGCCGACTACAACCTCTTCCTGGGTGAGTGTCCGTCCCGCCGCCTCCAGGGTGCGCAGACTCACAGGGCGGGCTGTCACCGATGGTGTGTGCACCGCCTGCCTCAGGGACAGAGACCACACGCCCCCTGAGGGAGGCCTGGAGAGAGAATGCCCCAGAAAGCCTTTGTCATCGCTGAGGTCCTGCGCCCTGACCCTGAGGACGAGGGGCAGGCTGGCCTTGTGGCCCCGGGCTGGGTTGTCCTGAGGGGATTAAACAGGACATGTCTCTGCTTTCTGCAGGCTGCCTGCTCTCATGGGCTGCGGGGACCACTACGTCTGGGGTGCCTCAGTCCAGGAGGGGAGGGCTGGGGAACGCAGATCCACAGAGGCCGCGCGTGGCCTGATGCCAGGTCCGAGCTGGGCCCCTGGCCCGGTGTCCCCTCGCCGCTCAGGTCAGCTCCACCGTCAGCAGCGCGTCAGGGGCCTGCACACCTTTCAGACAGTGGACAGGCGGCCCCTGCCTCCGAGGACCCTCACCCCCACCCCAGCGAGTGGACTTCCAGTTGCCTCGAGGCCGTGCAATGTCCCAGATGAACAGACTGAAGTCCACAGTGACTTACTTGCACCGGGAGCCTCTGGAGTTTCTGAGCTTCCTCAGTGAGATAACGTGAGATTACATGAGGACGAGGTCCGAAGCCACAGGGTCCCACCATCCAAGACAGCGTCATCAGCGCTGTTGTGTCCTGGTCACGGCGTTCACAGGGGCCGCATGGAGCTCTGGCCAGTGGCTAGGCCCCCTGTCAGTGCCTCTGGGCAGCTCCCCGAGGCCGAGCCCCAACACCCCCTCTGCGGGGCGTGCCCCGCCCCCACGCATGCACGCCCTGTCTCCCCAGTGATCTGCTACCTGGCCACCTTCCAGCTGGAGGAGCTCGGCTTCCAGGTCTTCCGGAGCATCGTCCGGTCCCAGCCTGCGGACAAGATGCGCAAGGTGAGCGCGGCCAGGCTGTCCTTGGACCTGAGGCCCGGGCCGCCCACTTCAACCGGAGGAGCTCTGCTGGGTGCCTTCTGTGTTTGCACAAGGGCTGTGCAGAGGGCCCTCGGGGGCCACAGCCCCCCAGGCTGTGAAGGGCGCTTCCAGCGCCCACGGCGGGAGGCCCCACCGGCAGCGAACGGTGCTGTGTCTTCAAACCACACTGTGAGGCTGAGGGCCAGGAGCTGGGAAGCAGCCTTCAGAAGCCCACAGCGTCCTGGGCCGTCCCCAGGCCACCCCAGGGAGGGGCTGGGGGACAGGTCGCTTCCCTGGGACCCTCCCACTGGCACTGCCCCTGGCACGGGGGGAGGTTGCAGAAAATGGAGCAGTTCCTCTCTCGGGATTTTGGAGCCTGTGGAGTGGGATGGGGGAGGCAGGCCACTGTCCATCTGTCCCCACAAGTACTCTCTTGGGTACCAGACTCCAGGTCCTAGGGAGCTGGCTGGAGCACGGGGTTCCCTAGTGAGGACATGCCCAGTTGGGCTGCCCCAAGTGCCCAGATGCCATGAGCAGAAGTCCTTCTGGTGAGGGACAGCTCCCCCAGAATGGGCACCCCAGCCCAGCCTGAGGGGTGGGTGAGCCGGGGTCAGGCCCCTTCTCTGTCCCCGAAAGGGAGGGTCTGTCCTGAGGGGCCGCCTCTCCTGGTGCGTCAGCCACACCTTCCCCTCAGCACTGACCCTCCCGTGAGGGGCGCCGGGCGTGGGGGTCTGGGCTGAGCCCCCACCCCACCTCTCCCTCAGTTCCTCGGGTTCTTCTTCAACCCCTTAAACCTGTGCTCGTGGGTCAAGGACGAGTGGAGCCTCGTCTACGAGATGGCGCACGTGAAGAGCTGGATGGATCCCCTGCTGAGGTGGGCCAGGGTGGGGGGCGCTGTACCCACTCCCAAGGCCTCCACAGGTCTCCTTCCTGCTCACAGGGACCCACGAGGGATGAGGGGGTTCAGAGAAGCCACAGTCCAGGGTACCAGAGACCCAGGCTGACCTGCACAGGGGGTCTGCCGGCCAGGGCGGCCTCAGGGCCATCCAGGTGGGTGGGGAGGGAGCGGCCCCTTCTACTCTGGAGCCCACCCAGGAGGTGGGGGCCGAGACCCTGTGGGGACCCTGCGGGGCTTCGGTCCTGACCAGCCCCTTCCCACAAGTCCAGGCGGGGGTGGGCGGGGAGCTCCCGGATTCTGGCCACATCAATATCTGGTGTCCCTCAGGCCACCCTCCTGGGCCTGTCACCCCAAAGCAGCCTCGCTGCCTCTCCCTGCCTCCCGACAGGCTCAGGCAGGCGCTGGGAGCTCTGGCTGCAGGACCAGCACGGTAGCCCCGCCCTGCCCTGGCCCCCACGGAGAGGCTGCTGGGCAGGTGCAGAGGAGGCCCTGCCCTTGGCCCCCATGGAGAGGCTGCTGGGCAGGTGCAGAGGAGGCCCTGGCTCCCACGGAGAGGCTGCTGGGCAGGTGCAGAGGAGGCCCTGGCCCCCACGGAGAGGCTGCTGGGCAGGTGCAGAGGAGGCCATGGCCCCCACGGAGAGGCTGCTGGGGCAGGTGCAGAGGAGGCCCTGGCCCCCGCGGAGAGGCTGCTGGGCAGGTGCAGAGGAGGCCATGGCCCCCACGGAGAGGCTGCTGGGCAGGTGCAGAGGAGGCCATGGCCCCCACGGAGAGGCTGCTGGGCAGGTGCAGAGGAGGCCCTGGCCCCCGCGGAGAGGCTGCTGGGCAGGTGCAGAGGAGGCCATGGCCCCCACGGAGAGGCTGCTGGGGCAGGTGCAGAGGAGGCCCTGGCCCCCACGGAGAGGCTGCTGGGCAGGTGCAGAGGAGGCCATGGCCGGGCAGGTGCAGAGGAGGCCCTGGCCCCCACGGAGAGGCTGCTGGGCAGGTGCAGAGGAGGCCCTGGCCCCCACGGAGAGGCTGCTGGGCAGGTGCAGAGGAGGCCCTGGCCGGGCCAGGGCTGCCCCCGGAGCTCCCCCTCACCTCAGGGACATCCTCAGGCCCAGCCAGACTGTCCTTGCTGCCTGCCCTCAGGGCTCCCACCTGTGGCCTGGCCCTGCCTGCCCCTCAGCTACCTGTGGGCCGCTGCTCACCTGGTTCTAGGCTGCCTGCCTCCCACCCCTGCCTGCCCTGGGACAGCCCCGTCCAGACCTGTCCCTCCCACCCCTGCTTGCCCTGGGACAGCCCCATCCAGACCTGTCCCTCCCACCCCTGCTGGCCCTGGGACCAGCCCCATCCAGACCTGTCCCTCCCACCCCTGCCTGCCCTGGGACAACCCCGTCCAGACCTGTCCCTCCCACCCCTGCCGGCCCTGGGACCAGCCCCATCCAGACCTGTCCCTCCCACCCCTGCTGCCCTGGGACCAGACCCGTCCAGACCTGTCCCTCCCACCCCTGCCGGCCCTGGGACAGCCCCGTCCAGACCTGTCCCTCCCACCCCTGCCGGCCCTGGGACAGCCCCATCCAGACCTGTCCCTCCCACCCCTGCTGGCCCTGGGACAGCCCCGTCCAGACCTGTCCCTCCCACCCCTGCCTGCCCTGGGACAGCCCCATCCAGACCTGTCCCTCCCACCCCTGCTGGCCCTGGGACAGCCCCGTCCAGACCTGTCCCTCCCACCCCTGCTGCCCTGGGACAGCCCTGTCCAGACCTGTCCCTCCCACCCCTGCTGGCCCTGGGACAGCCCCGTCCAGACCTGTCCCTCCCACCCCTGCCTGCCCTGGGACCAGCTCCATCCAGACCTGTCCCTCCCACCCCTGCTGGCCCTGGGACCAGCCCCATCCAGACCTGTCCCTCCCACCCCTGCTGCCCTGGGACCAGCTCCATCCAGACCTGTCCCTCCCACCCCTGCCTGCCCTGGGACAGCCCCATCCAGACCTGTCCCTCCCACCCCTGCTGGCCCTGGGACAGCCCCGTCCAGACCTGTCCCTCCCACCCCTGCCTGCCCTGGGACAGCCCCATCCAGACCTGTCCCTCCCACCCCTGCTGGCTCTGGGACAGCCCCGTCCAGACCTGTCCCTCCCACCCCTGCTGCCCTGGGACAGCCCTGTCCAGACCTGTCCCTCCCACCCCTGCTGGCTCTGGGACAGCCCCGTCCAGACCTGTCCCTCCCACCCCTGCTGGCCCTGGGACCAGCCCCGTCCAGACCTGTCCCTCCCACCCCTGCTGCCCTGGGACCAGCTCCATCCAGACCTGTCCCTCCCACCCCTGCTGCCCTGGGACCAGCTCCATCCAGACCTGTCCCTCCCACCCCTGCCTGCCCTGGGACCAGCTCCATCCAGACCTGTCCCTCCCACCCCTGCTGGCCCTGGGACCAGCCCCATCCAGACCTGTCCCTCCCACCCCTGCTGCCCTGGGACCAGCTCCATCCAGACCTGTCCCTCCCACCCCTGCTGGCTCTGGGACCAGCCCCATCCAGACCTGTCCCTCCCACCCCTGCTGCCCTGGGACCAGCCCCATCCAGACCTGTCCCTCCCACCCCTGCTGGCCCTGGGACCTGTCTTCCCCTTCTAGCAGCCCTGGGTCTCAAGCAGGGTGGGAACTAATGCAAACCATGCGCCCTGTACCAGGGGAGCCCATAAGAGGGCACACTGGCCGGGTTGGTGATGGTGGGCTGTGCCTGCACAGGACGTGGAGGCGTGAAAGGAGGACCCGGACCTTGGGGCAGCCCAGCAGGGCCCTTCCCAAACCCCTGCTCAGGGCACCCCCTCCCCGGCTCTCACTGCCCCACTGCTCCGAGCCGTCGCCCCTCCCCTCTGCCATCGGTGCAGTTCCAGGAAGGGACCTTCGGAATCTCCTTCCTTTCCACTCCTGGCTTCCTTCCCCCGGCCACCTGCTCGGGCCCAGATTAGCCCCTGGATTCCAGCGGTGGGGATCCGCTCTGCCCCTTCCTCCCAGCTCCCCACCCACCTGGGTGGCAATGCCACCGGGCCTCAGTTTCCTCCTCTTCTGGGAAGTGCTTGCCTGTGAGACTCGGGTGTGGTGGGCACGGTGCCTGCGTAGCAGGAGGCGTGTGAGCTGTGGCTGCTGGTCCCAGCGTCACCCCCACCCTGAGGTGGGCCCCAGCTCTGGGGAGTCCTTCAGACCCCAGGGGCTGTCCTGTCAACCTGCTTAGGAAGAAACCCTGAGCGGCTTCTCCCCCCTTGCCTTCAAGATGGCAGCCGGAGGTCCAGGAGCTCATCAGCCAGCTGGAGGGGGCATTGACCACTCAGCCCCCTTCTTCAAAGGCTAAGGTCACAGAGCCCAAGAAGTTCGACCTGACTGTCCCCAGACCCCGTGCCATTCCCATGCCTGAGCCTGTCCCTGTCGTGGCCAAGCCAAGACCAGTAAGTGTTGGCGTTTGCAGTGGGCACAGGCTGTCCAGGCTGGGAGAGTGGACACTGTGGGCCAGTGGGGGACTGGGCTCTTCCCAGAGCAGAGGGGCCACTGGACCAGACCAGCATTCGATGGTGGCTAAATGGGAAGATGCGTGGACAGATGATGCATGGATGGATGGGTAGATGATGAATGGATGATGACTGGGTGGATGGATGGATGGGTGGATGATGGATGGATGGATGGATGGATGGATGGATGATGGATGATGGATGATGGATGGATGGATGGATGATGGAGGGATGGATGATGAATGGATAATGAATAAGTGGATAGATGGATAGATGGATAATAGATGAATGGATGGATGATGGATGGATGGATGATGGATGGATGGATGGAGAGATGATGGAGGATGATGAATGGGTGGGTAGATGGATGGATGGATGATGGATGGATGGATGATGGATGGATGGATGATGAATGGATAATGAATAAGTGGATAGATGGATAGATGGATAATAGATGAATGGATGGATGGATGGATGGATGGATGGATGGATAATGGATGGATGGAGAGATGGACGGATGGACGGATGGAGAGATGATGGAGGATGATGAATGGGTGGGTAGATGGATGGATGGATGATGGATGGATGGATGATGGATGGATGGATGGAGAGATGATGGAGGATGATGAATGGGTGGGTAGATGGATGGATGGATGATGGATGGATGGATGATGGATGGATGGATGGAGAGATGATGGAGGATGATGAATGGGTGGGTAGATGGATGGATGGATGATGGATAATGGATGAGTGGGTGGGTGAATGGATCGCTGGATGGGTGGACAGATGATCAGTGGCCTTGTTGCCGAGCGGCCCTGTAGTTACCCTATCTGTAGGAACCTTGGTGTTTTTGGTCCCAGATCTTCAGGGCTCAGTGTGCTTATCTCCGGTCGTCCTTTCAACTGCATCTCTCTCCCTCTCTGCCTGGCCCCTGCCCGCCCTTTGCCATGCCCTGCCCTGCTCCTTAGCTGTGTGTGTGCCTCTCAGCATGAACTGTGAGAGGTTGGTGGCCAGTGATCTCCCCTGGGGCCCACAGGTGGCTGTGCTGGAACCAGCCTCCCTGCCCTCCTCTGTGCCCAGGACCCTCTTCCCCTCTGGCCTCCCATTCACTCACTCAGCAAGCACTGTGAACTGCCTCGTGCGTGCCAGGCTCCGTGCCTCTGTGGCGCACTCCCTCCGGGGCACTCAGAGAAAACACAGGATACCTAGCTGGTGATAAGTGCCGGGGAGAGAAGGTCATTCGGACGAAGGGGTCAGGAGCATTGGAGGAGTGCCGTTCGGCAGAGTGCAGCCCGGACAGGCCTCCTGAGGGTGCTGTGGGGTGAAGACCTGCGGAAGTGAGCGTGCGAGCGAGCCATGGTGTGTCCAGGGAAGGCATTCCGGGCAGAGAGCACAGGCAAAGGCCCTGGGGCAGCGCCTCCCTTCCGAGAGTGTCGAAGAGGCTGGAGTGGAGGCAGGAGGGGAAGGAGGGCGGGAGAGGAGGTACCGAGGGGACAGACAGGACGCACACCACGGAGGCTCACAGGGCCCACGGGCAGCAGAGGAAGGTGAGAAGAAGTCTAGGTGATGTCTCGAAGCAGCTGGACTGCCTTTGAGATGGGTGTTAGAGACCGCAAGGTGCTGAGGGGGGCTCCGAGGGGGACCCCGACACCTTGACGTGAGCCAGGGATGGACGGCAGTTGGTCAGCAGGCTGGGGGAGGGGAGGGTTTTCCAGAAGGTGGAGTTTCAGGTTGGGACATGAGTTTCTCACGCCTGGTAGATGCACAGGGGAGAGGGCACAGTTAGGAGTCTGGAGTTCAAGGGTCTCCAGGCTGGCTCTGCCCTGCCTGCCATGGTCATGCTCCCCCAGGCCGCCGAGGGTCCCTGTGGCAGGTCTCAGGCTGCCCTGCTCTCTGCTGGGCTGATGCTGCAGCCGACCCCTCCTGGCAGCTCTCTCCTTGGGGCCCACGACTCTCCGGCCTCACCTGCCGCTTCAGCCACTCCAAGTCCACCCCTGCACAGTCCGTGGGCCTCTGCCTGTCCCTCCAGAGTCCAGTGGCCTGGGCCCTGTGTTTGACCACCCTCCTTCCTGCTGCTGGCCTGACAGCATTCCCTCCCCAAGATGACCACCAGCACCCCACAAGTTCTAGCCATAGCTCCAAGGCTTCCCTCCAGCCCAGCCTCTGCAGGCTCGGGGAGCACAGCCCACCCTCACCCACAGGCCAGGGGCCCACATGCCTGCACACCCCCCAACTCCAACACGGCTCTTCCCCCGCCACCCACCAGGTTCCCAGGAGCACCTACCGGTCACCCAAGGAGTCGCAGACGCTGGGGATGACCAAGAGATACAACCGCCGGAAGGCCGAGGTGAGCAGCCACGCAGGACCCCGCCTTCCTGGGGGGGCAGGGGGGAGGGAGCAGAGGAGGCGGGAGCTGGTCTCGCCCTCATCCCTGAGCCCACGGGGGCCCATGGACAGGGTGGCGGCCTGTGGGGCTGAGCCGCTCGTTGTCCCCACAGGAGCTGCTGCTGAGGGCGAACCTGGAGGAGATGCGGTGTGCGGTGCCCAGGACCCACAGGAGGCCGCCCGCGCAGGTGACCCTGCCCCGCCGCCAGTCTTCACAGGGGCACTTGCTGCGGCACCATGAGCCAGGGCGGCCTGCCCGCCTCAGGCGCCAGAGTCCAGGCTCCCCGGCCAGGCAGAGCAGCCCTGCCAGCGCAGGCCGGGCCCAGGACCGCCGCGGGGAAGCCCCTGCAGTCCCTCTGGGCGTGTCCAGGTTGCCATACTCAGCATGTTCCTGCTTCTCTAAGAGAAAACCCAAGATGTGTGTGAACAAGTGACAGGAGCAGGACGAGGAAGACGAGTTGCCCGTGGAGTTGAGTGGGTGCTGGCCTGGCCCCTGTCTCCCAGCCTGGGACCCCAGCAGCTGGGGCAGGTGGGGGTTCGGGCACTCAGCATAGCAGTGTGCCCCAAGGGGTGTGATGGCTGAGTTCCCTGGGGGGCCTTTACCAGCTGCCTTCCCCCCCTGGAGCTTGTGCCCACCTGGGAGGGGGCAGACACAGTCTTGGAACAGCCCAGCACAGGCCAGGCCGTGGGGTCAGCCCCAGGGGCAGCAGAGGAGATGGAGCCTGAGCCGGAGGCCAAGCCCTCCGGACTAGGAACCGCTGTCCCTGGCCCAGTAGGCCCTGCACCTTCCCTGGTCCTCCTGGGGCAGCCCAAAGCCCCACAGAGCTCGGGGTGCATTGCAGGACAGAGGTGCTGCCCGGGGGAGCTCGTGTGCAGGGCAGGCCTCCCGGGGTGCACGGAGGGGCACCTGGTGTGCTCAGCTGCCAGGCCGACTCCACAGGGCACCGAGAAGCTGCGACTGCAGTTCCCTCCCCGGATCCGAAGGACCCCGAAGCTGACCTTCTACAGGGTGAGGGGTGCTCCTGACCTGTCTGGGTGGGTGCGGGGGCCCCCAGGCTGCTCCCCAGGCAGCCCCACCGCAGCCAGCCCCTCTTCCTGCAGCCGAACGAAGTCCCGGTCAAGCTGAACACGGCTGCCATCCTGCGGGAAGGAGCCTTGTACCAGCGGCAGGTGGAGAAGGAGCTGCAGAGGTGGGGAGGACAGGATGGCGGTCGGGGCAGAGCACAGGGGGTCCCGGCAGGGGTGGCCCTACAGGGGCGGGGCCTCATTTGCACCCTAGGAAGGTCGTCTCGACCCGGTGAGGGAGACAGACGGGGTGGGAGCAGGCTCAGCAGACACTGGCCCACCCCAAACCTTCCTTGGGGCTCACTGCCCCCTCTGGCCCCTTCCTGGCGCCCCTCCCCTCGACCACCAGGGCTGCAGGTCCTCGTGCTAACCCACGCGTGGGCTGTGGGTGGGAGCTTGGGAGGCTAACCAGACGGAGGAGAGACAGACAGATGGACAGAAGGGTGGGCAGATGGGGATGAAGGGAGGGCGCACTGGATGGCACAGTGGGCAGTGGGTGCTGGGCACAGAGCAGCCCGCACTGGTGAGGGCCACGGGCCACGGGGGAACCATGCCTCCCGGCGGCCAGCCAGGCCCACCCCCGGAGGAACCGGAGCCCACCTCTGTCCTCTCCCAGGGTGGACAGGCTGGTGGACGGGGCCGGGGACTTCTCCGAGTTCCTCGAGTGGCAGCAGAAGATGCTGGCGAAGGACCGGGAGGAGCAGCTGGCGGCGGACGCCTGCCGGAGGCTGCAGGGGAAGCTGAGCCACGAGGAGGCCGCGCTGGCCCGGCAGCAGCTCCGGCGGGAGAACCAGCTCAAGGCCCAGCAGAAGAAGGAGGAGGTGGCCGTCGGGAGGGCCGGGTGGCCTGTCTGACTCGGGGGACTGGGGCTCCGGCCGGCAGTGGTGGGGTGGCTCCTGTGGTCATGGGCTTGCCGCTGGCCCCAGGTCATTTCCTCCTGAGACCCATAACGCGGTGTGGTCCCTGCCCCCACCTCAGCGCACTGCCCGCCCCGCCCCACCGGCAGGGCCAGTCGGTCCACAGTCGTATGCGAAGGAAGACCTGAGGTTCTGGCAGGAACTTCGAGAAGGCTGACGTGTTTGCCTGTCCTCTCCCAGGGGAGGGCCTGCGGGCATCCACGCTGCCGCGTTAGGAGGTCCGGAAGCCTCTGTCCTGGGAAGGTGGCCTCCTTAGGCTCCTGACCCGCGTACCCGCAGGCCGGCTGCAGCTCCGTGGCCCCTCAGACACGTGCCCCGAGGCCTGCGGGCAGCAGACACGCGCCGCGTCCACTCAGACGCCCCTTGGTACTCACTCGTGTCTGTCTGTGCCCGACGTTAGGGTTGTCAGCCCTTTCTTTTCAGTGACTTGTTTAAAATAGGAAGTCAAAGCAGTGTGACAAGTAGACTCAGAGAACACGTGCTCCTTCCAGGTCTGGACAGTCTGCCTGCTGGCCGACATCCTCGTTTTCATTGGTTTCTGCACTGTTGTCTCTGTTCCTCCTTCTGAGCAAATACGCACACGTGTAGCTATCGCGTCTCACTCCCGTTTTCTCACGTGAAGGGTCTCTCCTGGCTTCTCTGCCATAGCCGCGCAGGTGCTCAGACGGTGGAGGTGTGAATTCCAGGTGAACTTCCGGAGGAGGGACTGCTCCCTGAGACTGAGCGGGCGGGGGGTTCTGTTTCTGTCCTTGTTTGGGGTGCGTGGCTCCCGCACCGGTGCCTCCCTCCGGTCTTGAGGCATCTCCACGCCCCGCACGGGGAGGGGCCGGGCCCACTACCCGCCGGAGTGCGCAGTACTGAGTTCGGGAATGTCTGCCATTCTCCTCGGGGAGAAACAGTATCTCTGTCTAGTTCTCCTCTGCTTTTCACTCATCGTTCGTGAGTTTGAGCATCGTCTCGTACATGGAAGAGCTGTTTCTGCCTCTTTCTCTGTGCACTGTCTGCTCGTGTCTTTTGTCCATCTTCTTTGGTCCCGGCTTTACTGGGGTGTGACGACAGGTGAAATATGTGTGTGTAGGGTGTATGGCCTGATGCTTTGGTATGCACACGCACTGGGCAATGACCACAGCCAAGCTCATTGACACCTCCATCGCCTCGAGGAGTTACCTCTGTGTGCTGAGGACGTGTGAGCTCTGCTTTCTACAGGGTCCTTCACAAGTCACCGCGCTGCCCACTGAAAGCTGCTGTCCTCTGACCAGCAGCACCCATGTCCTCCACCCCAGCCCCTGGGAACCCTGTTCTGCTCTTCGTGACTGTGACTTTGGCGTTGTAAAAAAATTTTTTTCTTTATTGATTTTAGAGAGAGAGGAAGTGACAGGGAGAGAGAGAGAAAAACATCGATGAGAGAGAACATCAACTGGCCACCTCTGCATGCCCCCCACTGGGGATCAGGCCCACAACTGGGTATTGAACCGGCGACCTCTTGGTGCAGGGTCGATGGCCAATCACTGAGCCGCACCAGTGGGGCTCTTTGCCCATTTCTTAATCAGGTTATTTTCTGATTTTTGGTATTGAGTTGTGTGAGTTCCTGATATATTTTGGATATTAACAACTTATGGGACAGATGGTTTGGAAATATTTTCACCCATTCCATAGGTTACCTTTTTGTCTTGTTAATAGTTGCCTTTGCTGGGCAGAAGCTCTTCAGTTCGGTGTAGTCCCGTTTGTTTATTCTTGCTTTTGTTGCTTGTGCTTTTGATATTAAATCAAGAAGAAAATCAGCCCTGGCTGGTTTGGCTCAGCGGTTGGAGTGTTGGCCCATGGACCAAAGAGTCTCAGGTTCGATTTCGGTCAAGGGCACGTACCTCGGTTGTGGTTCCATCCCTGGCCCTGGTCGGGTCGTGCAGGAGGCAACCCGTCAATATGTCTCTCTCACGTCGATGTTTCTCTCCCTCCCTCCCTCCCGCTCTATCTGAGGATAAATGGAAAAATATCCTTGGGCGAGGATTTAAAAAAAATAAAAATCACCGCCAAGACCAGCATCAAGGAGCTTTTCCCCTGTTTTTTTTTTAGTAAGTTTTATGGTTTTGAAAGCAAACACAACAGGTCCGAGGCTGCCTGTCACTACTTGAGTCAAATTAAGCAGAGACAGGGTTGAATCATCAATGAGCGTTTATCCCAGTAATGCCGGCAGGAGGGAGAGAGCAGCCGGCCATCCTGTAAATGCTGCTCTGACATCTCCAGCCGGCTGTTATGTGGGGAGAAGTGAGAAGGGGCCGCATGCAGGGGGCAAGGGGACCAGGGGAAGGGCTGCAGGGTCTGTGGTCCGTGTGTCTCCTTCCAGGATTCTGATGTCAGATAACAGGTAGTTAATTTTCTGTGATGTTAAAACAGCCCCACCAGCTCCTGGGACCGGGGAATGGTCACCATTCCTGAACCAGATTCCTGGAGGGGTCAGAGTCCAGGCACAGTAACCAAATCAAGGGGAGTCCTGTCCTTTGTTTGCTCTCAAATGCATCTTCTGGTCTGAGTAATGGACCCTCCGGGCTCTGAGGGTCCATCTCATCTCTTTCCAGTCTTGTTCATCTCCTTGCAGCACAAACTCCGTTTTCCAGGGTGTGTCAGGAACCTCACGTCTGTAGGTCCATAGGTGAATGATCACTAGACAGCTGGGGTCCTGTTCCAGTGACGTGCCCTTCTCCCCTCGGTTCAGTTCTCGTGCTGTTCCCATGGGGGGCCCACAGTGCAGCGCAGCTGGGGCCTTGGACTCAGGACAGCTCACCTCCCCGTCCAAGTGTCTTTCTATCTTTGCATGAGGTTCACTTGAGATCAGACTTCCCGAGCCCTGGCTGGTTTGGCTCAGCGGTTAGAGCGTCAGCCCGCGGACCAGTCCGGGGTTCGGGTCCCGCTAAGGGCATGCACCTTGGTTGCAGTTTGCCCTTGGCCCCGGTGGGGTCATGTGGGTGGCAACCAGTCAGTGTGTCTCTCTCACATCAATGTTTCTCTCTCTCTTCCCCCCTCTCTCCCTTCCACTCTATCTGAAGATAAATGCAAAAATGTCCTTGGGTGAGGAGAAAAAAAGACTCCTCAAATGTCTTGGTAGCCCACTTTTTTACAACTGGTACTTCCACACAACCATTTCTCCTGCTTATTACAAAGTTTTCAAAAGTGCTTTTAAAAAAATCCTCACTCCAGGCCCTGGCCAGTTTGGTTCAGCGGTAAAGCTTCAGCCCGCAGACCAATGAGTCTCAGGTTCGATTCCAGCCAAGGGCATGTACCTCGGTTGTGGTCCATCTCCGGTTGTGTGGGAGGCAACCAGTCGATTTTCCCTCTCACATCGATGTTTCTCTCTCTCTCTTTCTTGCCCCCTCTCTCTCCCTCCCACTCTATCTGAAGATAAATAGAAAAATATCCCCAGGTGAGGATTAAAAAAAAAATTTTTTTTTTTAATCCTCACCCCATGATATTTTTCCATTGATTTATTTTTTTAAAGATAGAGTGTCAGGGAGGGAGGGAGAGAGAGAGAAAGAATGATGTGAGGGATTGGTTGCTTCTTACACGACCCCAACAGGGGCCGGGGGTCAAACCCGCAACCAAGGCACGTGCCCTTGACCGGAATCAAACCTGAAACTCTTTGGTCCACAGGCCGATGCTCTAACTGCTGAGCCAAACCAGCCAGGGCTCAAAATTACTTTTTAAAATAAACTTTTTATTTGGAACAAGTTTTAAGAGTTACAGAAAAGTTGCAAAGCAGGCACAAAGAGTTCCCATACCTCCCCACCCAGCTTCCTCTGCTGGTAGCACCGGACACCACCATGGGCAGCGTGCAGGCTGGGAGCGTAAAGCAGGGCTCGGGGGTTCTGGGGACCAGCAGTCTGAGATCAAGGTGTCGGCTGGGCGGTGCAGTCTGCTGAGCCTCCAGGGGAGCCAGATCCTTCCTCGCCTCTTCCAGCTCCTGGTGACCCCAGGAATTCCCTGTGGCAGCCTCACCCCAGTCTCTGCCTACATCTTCCATGGCTGTCTTCTCCGTCTCTGTGTCCTCTCCTCTTTTTATATGGACACTTGTCTTCGGATTTAGAGCTTACCCTAAACCCAGGAGGATTTCATCTGCATCCTTCACTGGTGGGAAATAAGATCACCTTCTGTGGTTCTGGGTGGACATGAATTTGGGGGGAACACTAATGTGCTACACCATGGTGTGTTTGTCACAATTCAGAACCAACACTGGTGCACGACGTTATTCGGATTTCACGCTTTTCCCCCACTGATGTCCTTTTTCTGTCCAGAAGCCATTCAAGACACATTACACGGAGGCGTCACGGCTCAGACTCCTCTGGGCTGTGACATCTTCTCAGACCGTCTTTGCTCTCCGTGACCGAGCGGGTTCTGAGGCGTGCCCGTCAGCCATCCCGCAGAACGTCCTTCGCTCGGGGCGTCTCTGCCGTTCTTCTCGCGGGCAGACTGGGTGTGGGAGGGAGACCACAGCGGTGAACTGCTCAGCTTGTCAAGGGGCCTACTGGCCACGGACTCACCACTGTTGACGTTGGCCTTGATCACCTGTCCGGGTCGCATCAGCCAAGTCTGTCCACTGTAATCCTTCCCCTTTTCTGTGTTGTGCTCTTTGGGGGGCGTCTCCAAGTGGAGCCCACACTCAGGGAGGTGGGTGGTCATCAGGAATTCCTCTGCGTGGAGACTTGTCCTTCCTCCCCACGCACATGCATTCAGTCCTGGGCTCATGTCGGCGCAGACTCTGCACACGTGCGGGACCTCGGCTGTGCGCCAATGCGGCCTCCCTGCTGCTGCTGCTGCTGCTGCCCGGGGCCCTGGGAGCCCTTTCAGGTGGGCCCTGCGCCCCTCCGCGGGCCTGGTGTTTCCTGGGCACTTCCCCGTGTCACGGTGCTCATCGTACAATGCTCCAGGCTTGTATCTCCCCTGTCCGAGCCCCAGAATAGCCACTTCTCAGAGCCCTGGCTGCCTTTTCTTCAGACCTGGACCGAACCTGCACGGTGCTGAGCAAGGATGGCCGGGAGCCATTGTTGCTGCGCTAGCTTTACGGACGATGACTCTGTGCCCTGAACCTGCGCCCACGCTGCCCGCAGCCTGCTTCTCCGCGCACCTGCTGTCAAAGACGAGCCCCCAGGCTGGGAGTCTGACAGGTCCCCGACAGCGTGGCCGGCGACGGGCATAGAGCCCACGCTGTCCTGTGCAGAGTCTTGAGGACTGAAAATATCATTCTCCGTTGCTCACAGTAGTGCCAAAGTGGAAAGAGTGAGAGGGTCCATCCATGGTAGAACGGCCCAAGCGTTGTGCTGCACTCCCAAAAGACAGCACGGACAGGAGCCAGCCACACTGCAGGCGGCAGATAACGGGGATGAGGCTGAGAAATGCCTCGTCCGGACAGACCATCCAGTCAGTACAGTCAGAGCAGCAGAACCACACGCTTGTCTGGAGCTGTGCCCTTCTGAGGCCCCACGAGAAAGGAGAGTGTGGGGTGGCCGTCAGGACATGCCCCAGGCCACATGACGGGGAGCCTGGCACATCCTATGCACAGAGCCGGGCAGTATCTGCACACCCAGCTCCATGCGGCTTACATGCAATGGGTACCTTCGTCTCTTAACTGGAGCCCAAGGGTGGGTGGCTTCAGGGCAAACTCAGTAGCTCTGACTTGGTTTCCCCAGCACACTTTTGGCTGCACCCCTCAGCTTCATCATCAGATCTGGGGAGGTGGCTGCGTGGTCCTGGGCTCACAAGCCAGGGCCACAGTGGAGGCAGGGAGGACATGACGTGTGACTTCCCTAGCAGGCCTGACCTCCAGAGGCACAAGCTTAAACCTGGGCTCCAGGGCGATTCAGGGCCAGTGGCTGGTTCTGCCCTCAGACCTTTGCTGCTCCAGGGCTAGGGCAACCCAGGAACACAGATCTGCTCCGGGGGCCCCTCGTGGCACCGGCTCTGACCGTGGCAGGCCACTGTCCCCGCAGATGGCTGAGCTGATGCAGCAGTGTGCCGAGAGGCGCCTCCAGGAGGAGAGGTCCATGAAGGAGCTGGTGGAGCAGGTGACGGAGGGGCAGAAGAACATCAAGGCGGCACAGATGAAGCTCCTGAAGGGCCGGCGGCAGACAGGTAGGGCAGGGGCCAGGTGTCTCAGGTCCGTGAGGGCCGAGGTGCCCTGGAGGAAAGGCACCTCAGCCGCCCTTTTGGCCCCAGTCCAGGAGATGACCGAGGAGAGCCAGGCACTGCTGAAGCGCAGTGCAGAGGCGGCCAGGGAGGAGCAGAGGCGGCGCTATGAGCTCATCTCCCAGCTCCGAGCCCTGGAGACACAGCCTGTTTGCAAGGGCAAGCTGGTGGACCTGACCCAGGTGAGTGCGCAGCCTCCAGGGAGCCTCCTGTGTCTCACTGTGCTTGGCATTGCCATGGAGGGCGTGCCCAGGATGCCCGCCTCCACCCAAGCCAAGCTCTACCTGGCCACTCACGCGCAGCTCTGGTCCCCACACCACCACGCTGGAGGCCTGGGCTGGCCCCAAAGTCACGGTCTTGTCAGGGACACCTTGGTAACCCCTGGGGACAGGGGACAGGGCTCCTGGGTGTGGCCAGGGTGGGCTTCACATGGCTGATGGCGAGGGAGGCCCGGGACTCCCCAGGTGGGAAGGGCGGTGTACAGAGAGCACAAGGCCAGAGGCTGGACGAGCGGGAGCTGAGCCTGGGCATCGGAGCCTGGAAGCCTGTGTGTGAAACATCATGACAGGCCAGGCTGGCTCGGCGAGGTGGGGGCAGGCCTGGTCTCGGGGGCGGGACAAGTCCTGAGCGCTCTCTGCCTAGGCCCTGGGCCCTGGCTGGGGCGACATTGGTGAGCTCCATTTGGGCTGATATCCAGTCACCCCAGGGCGTCTCAGGCTGCAGAGGGGCCCAGGCTGGGGAAGCTGGATGACAGACACGTCACACTGACACCGATGGGCAGAGGGAAGGCCATGTCCTGGGTGAGGGGTGAGGCCCATGGAAGGCAGGAGGGAGATGGCCAGGCAGGCTGCGCATGCTGGCCATGGCTCTGGCTCCTAGCAGGGGCCTCCCCTGCCCACCCCCAGGTCCCCGGGCATGGCCTGGAAGGGGAGATGTCCCTTGTGGAGCTGCGTGAGCGGCTGGCCCTGCTCAAAGAGGCCCAGCAGCGTAAGGAAGCGGAGAGACGAGACCAGATCATCCAGAGCAAGCGCGCCCAGAGCCAGGAGCTGCAGAAGGTGCTGGAGCAGATTTCACTGTGCCGCGCGGCCATGGGGCGGTCTGCAGCCTTGAGGTCCGTGCCCTTTGCAGCCTCAGGGAGGGTTCTCCGCACAGCAACCCCTCCCCCCTGCTCAGGCAGTGCCCCCACCCGTGCTATTTTATCAGCCGCTCCTCGGGCATACCGAGAAGGTGAGACAAGAATGCAGTGATGGCTCAATGCCCATGACCTAGATCTGGTCATTTTGCATCTGGGTCATGGGTACGGCCTTTGCATCTAGCTAGCTAGCTAGCTATCTGCCTTTGCAGAACCATCTGGAAGTAGTTGCAGGCATCGGACACTTTGTTCCCAAGCACTTTGGTGTGCATCTTCTGAAGAAAGACACTGTCCTACATAAGCACGCACAGGACACGACCAGAGAGTCCAACGGCGATTCCCTGCCGGATTGGCATACCCTGTTGGCACATCCCTCCAGGGTCCTAAGACTGCTCGCCGTAGTTTTTCCCTTAGAAACCAGGACCTAGTTGAGACTCAGGCAGCATCTCCACTCCCCTCTCACCAAGAGCATGTGCACACACACGCCGTTTGTTTGTTTGTTTGTTTGTTTGTTTGTGGAACACCGTGGTGACTTCCAGCCCCATGTGGCTGTCCATGGCAGTTCGGTCAGGCAGAGGCTGGTGTCAGCCCCAGGGTGGGCTGGCCTTTGGCCCCTAGCCTGATGCCATGGGGAGGCAAGGCTGCTCCAAGGGAGGTGACACTGAGCTCGGACAGAGCATAGCCCGGCTCAGGGTCTGGTACACAGAGCTCCAGAGAAAGTATCTTGAGCATAACTGGAGTGGGGCGGACAGAAGCGAGGACAGTCAGATATCCAACACGATTGGTCCTGGGTGTCTGCTGCCCTAGTTACAATTCAGAGGAGGCCCGTGACAACGGCTGGGGGCTGCCCGAGGAGGGCTGGCTGGCCACTCGGCAGTCCCCAAGGCGGCATGCATCTGGGAGGCTTGACCACTTTCCAGCTGCCTGACAGATCCCAAATGCAGTCTGATTGGTGTTGGGGAGCCTCCAAGGGCTCCTGCTAACAAAGCTCCTGGAGCTCCTGTGTGAAGCCAGGCCCCACGGCATCAACTCATTAGGGGCGTTTTAATGGGCAGTGGGGCTGGAGTCAGCCAGGCAGTATGGCTGAGGGATCAGCACCTGCAAAGGCCCTGGGGCTGTGATGTGACCTGAACCGAAGGCATCAGCAGCGAACAGCCTGTATCATGCATCCCATTTCCAAAGGAAAATGGCCTAGCATGGGCAAGGTTGGCAAAGATAGCACAATGTCACCAGCGTTCCTTCTAGGCAAGAGGGGGGGAAGGCAGGGCGCTAGGTAAAAGGGAGCTTTCACTTTTTGACCCCAAATACCATAGTTAATACACATGGAATGCTTTTTTTAAATGTTAAGTACAAGAGCAAAAAGGTAGAGGCGAGGAGGGGCCCCACCTAAATCATGCCGTCACCGGTAGCTGAGGCCCCTCCTAAGCCCGCCCCGTCGCCGGCCCAGGTGGGAAGAGAAGAAAGCGGCGGTCCAGGAGCCGGCCCCCCAGGACCAGCGCGTGCAGGAGCTGCAGCGCAGGATCGAGGAGAAGGTGGCCGAGCGCCGCAAGCAGGCGGCCCAGCTGCAGGCGCCGGCGCCGCGGGCCGTGCGCCCCCAGCCGCGGGTGAGCCCGGGACCCGGCGGGGCGGGTGGGGCGAGCTGGGTGGACGCGGGTCTGAGGGATGCGCCCCGCCCGCCCGCCGCAGGCGCAGCTGGAGGCGCAGCACTGGCTGCAGCTGGAGCGGAGCCGCGAGCGCAGGCTGCGGGCGCTGCAGAGGGAAGGCTCGGGCTGCGCGCCCACGCACCGCCTGGAGGCCGCCTAATTCGGCGGGAACGTCCGGCACCCCGAGCGCCCCGCTGGAATAAAGCGTGCGTCCCGCTCTGTGCGCCTCCTCTTGCTCCGCCCTCCCCCACCCCCACCCCCCATCCCTCGGCGGACGCCCCGTCTCCGCCAGCCCAGAGCCGCGTTGCCGGATAAAATGCAGGACGCCAGGTTGAGACAACCTTATGCCAAAATAGTATCTGCTCTTTATTCATATTGACCTGGGCTCCACGTTGCATGTGCTAAATACGGCCACCTTGCCCTTCCCGTCCCGGAGCATTCCCCGCTCCCCGTTTTCGGAGCGCCCTGAACCCCTTTGCATATAGAACCTGGAACTGCTTCCCTCTCCGTCCAGAGTCCAGTAGCTTAAGTTGGGGACCCCGAAAATGGGTGTGTGATTGTGCATTTGGTCGGAGAAGTGGTCAGGATTCTCGAGTCACTAGGAACTGGGCCTTCTCAAGCCTCATCTCATGTGAACCTAACAGCGATGGGGGTTGAGCTGGGGTAGGAACTGTCCCCCACCCCTATTCGGTGGGTGAGCACTTTTGCTCAGAGGTGAAGTGACATGGCCAGGGAGCCAGGGCTGACTTTATTATTATTATTATTGTTATTTTCTTTATTGGTTTTAGAGAGAGAAGAAGGGAGATAGAAACATCGAGAGAGAACATGGATTGGCCGCCTCCTGCATGCCCCTCACTGGGGATTTGGCCCACAACCTGGGCATGTGCCCTGACAGAGAATCGAACCGACGGCCTTTTTGTTGCATGGTGGACACTCAACCACTGAGCCACACTGGCTGGGCTAAGCCTGCTGACTTTAGAGCACTGTCCAGCCTTCTGCACTGTCACGGAAACAGGGTTGGTCCACTGGGCACCAGCCTGCCCAGAGACAGACAGGGACGGATTCACTCTCCCGGTTCCTGGGTCTTAGCAGGACAGGACGTGGCCTTGGGGCTGTGCTGCCACTCCCAGGAAGGGAGGGCCCGGGCAAGTCCATGAGGTGGGGCAGTAAGGGCGGGGCTGGAAACTGCCAGGTGAGTAGATGTCCAGGAGAGACATCCTGCTTGGGTCTGCAGAGATGACAGACACCTCGGGGGCCGGACCCCAGGGCACATTCAGATCAGGAAGGTAGGTAACTTGACATGACAAGAACAGACAGAACAGAGCTCTCCCTGACATTCTGAACTGTATTAGAACCCAGGACTTTCCCACAACCCAGGTTGGTAAAAAGAGGAATTTCCCACCTCTCTGTCAAATTAGAGCTGGGAGCAGATTAAATTTTAGAGAAATAAACATGACATTTCTTATATCCTGTATTGTGTCTCAAACCCATTCCATTTGATATAAAGGGAATACATTGATGATGACCTGCTCAGAGTGTCCCTCAGGAGATCCAGCTCCCAGAACTGGCAATCCAAAGGTAGGGTGGACTTCAGGACATGCCTGATCCAGGAGCTGTCTCCAAACTAACAGCAGCTCTGGTCTCACAACATCCGGAGGAAGAAGAGCCTCCTCTTCCTGGGGGCTCTTAGGAGGGAAGCCTCTCTGTCCCTGAAATGAACATGCTCTGTAAGCCAGTTCCTGCGGTGTACACAGGTGCCCAAAGCTGGCCCTGTGGCAAGAGGGCAGAGGTTGTAGCCCAACAAATTTGGGTGCTATTGACAATGATGCTGGTTGGCAGTCCACAAGGTTCTTACCAGCCATCCTGGACTGGCTAGCTGCTCAGAGCTGCCTTGAGAGCACCCGAGGCTTCTACTCCATACAAACCTTGGTGGGAGCAGGCCTTGGGCCATCAGAAGCTGTGGCCTAAGGACAGGCCTTGCATGGTAGATGCAATTTGTCTCACTGTATCTATGTTCCCTGGCTTGTGATCTCCCATCAAGGGGTGGAGTCTACTTTCCCCAGCCCCTGACTTGCTTTGGCCAATAGGACGCAGCAGACGAGGCTGTGCTCGTGATTACAGCCTGGGTCTTGGTGGCTTTGGAGCTCCCTCTTCCCCTTGGAACCCTGCCCAGCCTGTGTGATCACGCCCTGGGTGGCCTGCGGGGATGAGACTCCATGTGGAAAAGAGCCAATTTTTCCAGTCAAGGCCATCCTCTACCCCCCTACAAACCAGCAGACCCCAACATGTGAGGCCTGCCGGGATCAAAACCTTCCCCCAGTACTAACTTGTAGATTCATGAGCAACAATAAGTGCCTGTTTGCTTAAAGCACTGAGCTCTGTGGAGATTTGTCCTGAAGCAACAGCTAACTGACATACCCTCCAGCGCCAAGGATCCCTGTGCCTCCCACTCCCTGCACAAGCCACCCTGGAAAGAGGGCCAGCCAGGAGAAATAAGGTCCCACTGATGCCTGGAGAGTGCTCTCTGGGCCACCCGGGGAGCTGACATTCTGCATAAGTGAGTTTTTATCAGCATAAGTGCAGCCAGAAGACTCTCGTTGACAGTGTCTAAAACTCACTTGGGCAGATTATTCCTTTGCACATAGTTAAAAAGCAGGTTCTCAGGCCTCATCCACAGAGAGTCCGGTTCTGTGTGTGGCCCAGGAAACTGCACTGAGCTGTGTGGCACTGTGGGAGCACTGAGGTGACATCTTTCCTCTAAGCTGGGACTTGGGGGGCCAGAGGGAGGCAGTGTTGGTAAGGGAGCCAGGGATGCTCATACCACAAGTTCAATGTCCAGGAGCTTTGCAGAGGCCTCGAAGGCAGCTTTATTTGTTGTAACTTTGTTTTTTCTTTTTCTTTTAAAAAACTGTTTTTATTGATTTTAGAGAGAGAAGAAGGGAGAGGGAGAAAAATCAGTGAGTGAAACAGCACGCCCCCAGCCCTCTACTGGGGATGAGCTAGCAACCTGGGCATGTGCCCTGATGGGGAATCAATCCAGCGACCTCTCTGTGCATGGGACAGTGCTCAACCAATTGAGTCACACTGGCCAGGGCATGATTTTGCTTTTCAACATCACATCTTTAAAATAATCCTCAGAACAATGAGAGAAATTTTTTTTTTTAAAGTTTTTTCTTTACTGATTTTAGAGGGAGAGAGAGATAGAAACATCGATGAGAGAGAGCATCGATTGGCCACCTCCTGCATGCCCTCCATTGGGGATCTGGCCCACAACCTGGGCATGTGCCCTCGCCCAGAATCAAACCAGTGACCTCTTGGTTCATAGGTTGACGTTCAACCAATGAGCTACACCAGCCAGCTCAATATCACATCTTTAATGTATAAAAGTTACAAATAGAGCCCTGGCTGGTGTGGCTCAGCAGTTAGAGTGCTGGCCCAGGGACCAGAGTCATGGATTAGATTCCCGTCAAGGGCACGTACCTCAGTTTCGATTCGGTCCCTGGCCCTGGTCGGGGTCATGTGTGAGGCAATCGGTTGGTATATCTCCTTCACATCAATGTTTCTCTTTCTTCGCCTCCCACTTTATCTGAAGATAAGTGGAAAATTATCCTCGGGTGAGGATTTAAAAATAAAATAAAATAAAGGTTACAAAGAGAAAACCCTAGCTTTTCCTTAGAATGTGATTTTTAAATTATTACTGTTATTTATAAAGCTGGTCATTTCCAGCTATTACTTTGATTAATCATGTATGGTCTCAAATCTCTCTTAAACATTTAAACTGCATTTATACATGTAGAATCTAAATTTGTTTTTTAGCATTTTAGTTGTCTGCCTTAGCAAGTATTTAATCCTCACCTGAGGACATTTTTGTTGTTGTTGTTGTTGTTCAGAAAAAGTGGGAGGGAGAGAGAGGAAGAGAGAGAGAGAGAAACATCGACGTGAAAGGGACACATCGAATGGCTGCCACCTGCACGACCAACCAGGGCCAGGGACAAACTGCAACCTAGGTACATCCCCTTAGTGGGAACCGAACCTGGGTCTCTCTGGACCACAGGCTGACGCTCTAACCGCTGAGCCAAACCGTCCAGGGCTGCCTTAGCAAGTATTTAAAAAGTCCTATAGATGTATTAAATGTCTACATTTCTTCTAAACTTGTAAATTCTCTTTAAAACTATTCAAATTATAACCACAAACTGTGGAAAATCTTACAACAACTTAAAATCACTATCGACATATTCAAACACGTATTTCACACTGAAATCAGATTTATCTGATACTCTACCATGCCAAATTCCCTTATAACTGCACAAAATATCAAACACAGAGATTGCTCGTAAACTCAACACAAAAACATCAATGCTCTGGTTTTGATTGGCTTAGTCATTGCCATACAAGATTCAACCTTCTGGGTTAAAGACCCCTTCTTAGTAAACGGCCCATCCCGAGGAATCTGGAGTGACCTCTGCATTGCCTGAAGGTGCCTAGGGACCAGAGATGATGCCATGGCCGAAGGTCTGTGTCTTCTCAGACCGAAAGGGAACGATCTGCAGCCCGTACCCAGGCCTGGCAGGCGGCCGGCTGGTGCGGCGCTGAGCCCCCCAGCTCTCCACCTCTTCTGCGGTAGATCCTGTTATCCCCATAGGACAGGGAGGGAACAGTGAGGCTGCTTAAACAGTGGAGCTGGGATTCGAACTCGGGCAGGAGGAATCCAAAGCCTGCACTCTCTCGACCCTTGGAGTTGCACTGGAGGCCCCAAGGACCCGAGAGCTGTCCAGGCTTCTGCTGGACCTCGGAGAGATGTGGGCAAGAGTTCTGTCCTCCTTTCCTGACACCCGTCGCCCCGGGGCTCTGAACCTGGCATTTGGGCCAGGTCCTGACCTCCGAGATCTGATTCCTGCCTCCCCCGACCCACACGGCTCCCTACCTCTGTGCTCCTGGCATACCGGGCAGCTTTCGGTTTCCTGGACATGCCCGCCCCTCTCTCCCCTGGAACCCCCTCTCCTGGAACCCCCACTTCGAGCCCTTTCAGTTCCCAGCTCCGAAGTCGCCTCCTCCCGGGAGCCCTCCGGTTCCGGCCGATGGGCGGGGCAGTGCTTCCTTCCTGTCTCCACCACCCGCCGGGGAGAGACCAGTATCATCGAGACGGGCGCCGGCCCAGGGCCTGGCACCGCGGGGATCGCGGGCGCCCTGGAGAAGCTGCGGACCCAGGCCATTTACCCCCGGACACTGCTCACAAAGACCTCACGAACAGGCGAGGAAACTGAGGCCGAGAGCGGGGTGGAACCGGGCGGGGATTAAGGCTGCGGTCGGGCCGGGCTGCACTGACACCGGCTTTGCGTTGCCCGCTGGTGGTTTTATTCCGCGGACCACAACTCCCGAGAGGCCTTGCGGGCGAGCGAGGGCACTGGCCGCGTCTCTCGCGAGGAGGTGGGAGCTTGAGCTCGCGAGACTGAGCGGGGCCGGAAAATGCCGCGTTTCAAAGCGGTAACAGACGGTTGTCCAAGCCAATAGAATTGAAAATACACCCTCCCGACCCGTAGAACGCGGGAGTAGAGGCGGCGGGCAGCCAATGGAAACGCCAGGGGCGGAGCCAAGGCCTCCGGAGCGGAAGTGGGTCGCTGTTGAGGCGGCGCGTCTGGCTGGAGTGCTTCTCCGCTGCAGCTTCCGAAGGTGCTTCTAGCTCGAAGGCGTCGGCCCTCGCCAGACCAAACCAGCCCAAGTAAAGCCAGGCTTCGCGGGGAGGGAGCAGCAAGCCAGGGCCGGGCAGAGACGGGGTTCGGGCGGCTTCGCGGCCTGCAGAAGCCTCAGCGCCGCGGCCCAGGAGCCGCCTCGAAGCCAGGCCGGGCCTCCCCCGGGACCGCGGGCCTCCTCGCCCGCCTCGCCGTCCGCGCGGCTGCACGAGCCCGGGTCGACGCGGGCAACAGACGTGGGGAGGCCTCGCCCTGGGTCTCGGCTGCTCCGGCGGGCGGTGGCCGGCTGCGCTCAGTTAGTAGCATAACCGGGGAAACTGAGGCTGATCGGGGGAGGGACGCTTCGAAGGTCACTCGGAGAGTCGGGCAGGGCGGCCCAGGGTGCGGGGCTGTGGCTGTTCGGGGGAGACCTGGGCAGGGTTTTTGTACCCTGTTGACGCCGCCTCCTTTGTGTGCTCGCGCTGAACCCCCGCAGTTGTGGGCCTGTGGGTCCGCTTGGACCTCGTGGCGGAGCCTCCTCTGGGCTTGGGACGGGCGGGGCCCGGCCCTGGGGGTGCCCATCTGGGACCAGAGCTTCGTAAATACTCAGCTTCCGGTCGTTGGTGGAACCCGTGACTGCTGCGGCGGGGGCCCGCCCCTGGGCTGCCTGTAAACAGGTGCCTGAAGGTTAATCAGGGTCTCACGCCAGGCTCGGGACCCGAGAGCTAGAACTCGGTGAATGCCACCCTCCACCCTGACCCGTCGATGTAGGGGTAGAGCTCAGACCCTGGAGCAGCCTGGAGCTCCCCGTGGCCGTTTTTATGGGGGTTGCGCTTTTGTCTTATCCTTGTCTGTGCCTGTCGACGTTCGCAGTCGTATCTTTGTTCTGCCTCTGCGGCGAGTCCTCGGAGCCAGACTGAGGGTCTCAGCCCTGCAGCCCAGCAAGGCTGCCCAGGGTCGCACGGCCAGCTGGGTGCTAGCAGAGCACGTCCAGGACTTCGCTTTCCTGACGGCAGGACCAGGCCTTCCAGTTCGGTGACCAGGAGTTTGGGGACGCCTGGAAATGAAAGAAGACAGTGAAGGCATTTTTGTTGGTTTGTTTTTTCCGGTTTTGTTTTGTTTTTTAAATGGGTGCGGAGACATGCTGGCTTCTGTTTTATCTACGAGTTTCAGGTGAAATGGGTGCCTTCAAGTAGAAAGATGTGTTGCTGCCTTTTTGTATTGCCTGAACTTGAGCTTCCCACTCTGATTCAAAGATTTTTTTCGCCCCCTTTGAATACTCCTTAATATTAGCACACGTGTGAGGTCTTCTGTGTGCCAGACTTTCTGCTTGAGGGACAGCAGTGAACAAAATAAGCCTTGCACAGGCCCTCGTGGGGCTGAGCGGTGAGGGTGGGGAAAGAGAAGAGTTGCCTGAGGTTGCAGTCCATATTGTTAAGAGATGGGACTGGAAGGGTACTGGGAACCAGGTCACAAAAGGTGTTTGGTGTGCTTCCTCATTAAGGAATTCAGAATGTATCTGAGTTCTAAGCAGGGAAGTAACAGGGTTAGATAAGTCTTCGGAGAGAAAGGTGGTGTAGAGGTGGGCAAGACCAGGGGCCTCGGGACCAGTTAGGGAAGAGAAGAGTAGCTTGGACCAGGCTGCTCTTCACCGAAAGGCTGTTAGCAAAGTCCACATCCAGTGGTTTCTACCCCCACCGATTTCTGGAGAAGATGAAGGTACTGCTACTCAGTGAAAATATGCACAGGTATGCTTATTGGTTTGTGTGCTGGATAAAAATGGCTTGGTGTGTTCTGTGTGTGGTTCCATTATCTTGCTTTGAAATGATCGACTACTTCTTTCGCAGCCCCCGAGTTAGGTATCTATGGAGGATAAGGTGGCTCCTGTAGAACATTACAGGGTTGACGCCTACTGAGATATAATTCATATCTCTGCTCTTCTGACTGTTTTTTCCCATATAGCTTGCTTCCCAGTAGCACTTTGGGAGTTTAAAGCAAGGCATTTGGAAGTATCCTTTCTGAGGAGGAGGGCCCAGGGCCCGGATGCTGAGGTCAGAGTCCAAGTGTGAGGAGACAAGGGGTTGAGATGAGATGGAGGTGAGCTTAATATTTTTATTGAATTTAGAGAGAGAGGAAGGGAGAGAAAGAGAGTAAAGCATTGATTGGCTGCCTCCCACATGCCCCCTTCCAGGGATCAAGCTTGCAACCCGGCCCTGTGCCCTGACCAGGAATCAAACCAGCAACCTTCTGATGTATGGGATGACGCCCAACCAACTGAGCCACACCAGCCAGGGCTGCAAGTGTTTTTTCCAGGTGTGAATGGAACTGCACATTCATAGAATACCATATCATGCAGGGTAGGAAAAGCCTAAAAAGGTTTCAAAAGGAGGAACATTAGTAGCCTGCTGTACAAAAGAGAAATTGTGATGATAGGCTCTCCTGGAGTACTCGTTTTAAACCACATGGTCTCCTGGTATACCCAGCCTCCAGATAGCTGAATAAGTTGGCTGGTATAGATTTATTTGCTATGCACAGATTTAAAGTGGAAGAATGTCTGCTAAAGGACAGGATTAACTGATAACGCCTTTCTGTTTTGCAATCGTGATTGCAGTTCTTTGTGGTAGGAATGTGGCTTGGTTGTGTGGGGTTTACTCTAGGAGGTGATGCAATCGTGTCTACTAGTGAGCAGTCTCTACCACGTCCATCTCTTACAGATCCGGCCTGCCAGGGGGTTGAGAGATCTGTTTACATGTCCTGAAGCATAGGGAGGTCAGTCAGTTGCTCAAGGTCACACAGACCTACGTAGTAGCGTCGGAACTGCAGCCTCCAGCATCGGTCTGCCTTGGGGGGGGGGGGGGGGGGGCACAGGACCAGTGTTTTAGTAGATTCATACGGTAAAAATAAAACCTACGGTGGGGGCTGTGTGTTTCTTTTTCTTTTGAAGTAACATTTACCCAGGAGGGGTCTGAATATAAAAAGTCTCATAAAACTTAATTTTCAGTGATTGCATTGTTTTCCTGAAGACTGTAGTTCATGTTCCTGGGGATCCTCCCTTTTCCGCTCAGCCGGGCCTGTGGTTCTTGGGTCTGGACATTTCTTGTGTGCAGCACCTCACCTCTGTTTTAGCCAAATTGTTGTAGTTCTGCTGCAGAATTAAGATTCTCTTCCCTATAAGTGTCTTTTTTATTTTTATTTTTATTTTTATTTTTTATCCTCACCCGAGAAGATTTTTCCATTTTTGGTTCAGATAGAGTGGGGAGGGAGGGAGAGAGAGAGAGAAACATCAACGTGAAAGGGACACATCGAATGTTTGCCACCCGCACAACCCAACCAGGGTTGGGGACAAACTGCAACCGAGGTACGTGCCCTTAGCGGAAACTGAACCCGGGACTCTCTGGTCCACAGGCCCAAGCTCCAACTGCTGAGCCAAACCGGCCAGGGCTTTCTTTCTTTTTTCACTCCTCTCCTAAGGATATTTTTCCATTTACCTTCAGATGGAGGGGGAGGGGGAGAGAGAGAGAGTGAAACATCCACAGGAGAGAGACACATCTATCCGTCGCCTCCCACACAACCACAACCAGGACCAAGGACAAAACCACAGCCAAGGCACATGCCCTTGACTGGAATTGAACCTGCGACTCTTTGGTTCGAGGCTCTAACCTCTGAGCTGAACCTGCCAGGGTGGTCATTTGTTTTTGAGTCTCTCTTTGCTTCCTGGTGGTGACGTTTTTACTCTACCTCCACCCCCCAGAAACAGTCTGCCATCTCTTGTTTCTGCCATTTTTTTCAAGCATCTAATGAACTTGATGATTTAATTTCAAAGAAAAAAGTCATTATTTATTTCTCCAATATGTTTGTGCTATGGGGCTGCGCTAAGAGGCGGGCTGCTGTGAAAAATATTCGACTTAGACGTTTACAATATCAGGTCAGGACCAGCAGTGAGAGAGGTGCCTCAGTTTTGAGGTGAGTCTTTTTTTTTTTTTTTTTTTTAAACGTTGCTTATTTTTATTTATTTACTTATGTGCCCCGAGCGGGAACCGAACCCGGGACTCTCTGGTCCGCAGGCCGACGCTCCAAACCGCTGAGCCAAACTGGCCAGGGCTTGAGGTGAGTCTTGAAGGACGAGCTGGAGTTCCCCAAAGTGGGAGCCAAGGAGTGGGTGACTTGACATCATGGTACTTGGAGTAAAGTATTGAGTTCCACTTTAAATGCTTGTTTGGACACATGAAGTAGGTCCAGTGGACTGACATGTTAGGGAACCGTTTGAACATGATGGGGATTTGAGTTTTCAGTACCTAATTTCACGTATGGGAAATACTGGTAAACACAAAACATGTAGGCCGCGGACTGTCCACACCTCCAGCACCTATGTTGATTCTGTGCTCTGAGCCATGCCTGTGCACACCTGGTGTTACAGCTTTACCTGGTAAAATGCCATGGTTGTTGTAGTTGTGGACGAAAAGGGGCCACATGCTAACCTGACAAGCTCAGGGAAGGCCTGTGTGGCGGCCTTGCAAACTCAAAGACCTACAGTAACCACAAACGGTGGTCTGAAATTAAAACGTTTTAACCTCAAGCAGTTTATGGCAGATATTCACGTCCTAGGCCGGCATCTTCCCTCGCAAAAGTCACTCTTTACCTTAACTAAGCCTCTATTGTCTTTTGGCATCTACGATAACATATCTTTGGAATGTCAAAGTAATTTTCCTTTTTCCAGATCCCTCAAAGCACAGGCACCACTCTGGAAGCCACAAATCCCCTCATTATTATTGAGTTAATTGTTGACTGTTAACTGTCTGTTCCCACCTATGTAAAAGATGTATGTGTCTATCATTTTACTTTTCATCCAATCCCAGAGGTTTCCCTGATTTGCTTTCTCCCGCCTCCGTAATCTATCACCAGTGGATTTCATGTAACCCACTTACGTCTCCACTTTTGATTGTAATGTATAAAATAAGGTACAAAACTGCCATTCTTCAGAGCATTATTTTAATCCATTGAGATTTTGCTTCCTGGAAATTGTCGACAGTTTTGGCTCAAATAAACTCAC